GATGGTGTGTGTGCCTTGCTCTGGGCTGCAGGAGCTGCTGCGTGTTGCTTGCAGGCATCGGCGGTGAGACCGTGTGCCGTGGATGGACCAACAGCAACAATGGGCCAGCATCGGAGGCTGTTGCGCTCCTTCAGCTTGACCTCGGCTCCGTGGCTGAAGCGCACGTAGTGCCCATCAGCGCCATCACGCTGCGAGTGGCCCGTTGGCCTGCCGCTGCTGTCCCTGGTCAGACGACCGAGGGCGATGAGGTTGGCCTGGCCCTCGGGCACGTAGAGGCACTCCTGCAACACAATCTGCATCGTGGCTCCGCTCGTCGTGCGTGCATGCAACAGCACAAAGCCAACACCGCGCACGGGCACACGTGTGCCGCCAAACGCAGTGATGTGGCGTGGATGGTGCTGTTGCAGGTGCGGTGTCAGCTCCACGAAGGCGTCCTTGACGAAGGTGAGGTGGTGTGAAGCACCCGTGTCTGCAAGCCACGTGAGTGGGTCGTGCAGCTGCGTGGGTGTAGTAGCTGTGGCAGCGACGAAGGTTGCTGCGTTTTGACCATGTTGATGCTGTGCCTGTGCAGTGAAGCCTGTTGCTCCGTTGTCGCGTTGCTTCTTGCGACACTCTGCTGCACGGTGTCCATACTTGCCACAGTAGTGACAGTTGCCACGGAAGCGGCGCCCTTTGCCGTTGCTGTTGCCGTTGCTGTTGCCATTGTTGCGTCCCTGGCGTCCGTGGTTGTTGCTGTTGTTGGAGAAGCCGCGTCTTCCGCCTCTGCGTGGCGGTGCGCTTGCCATGAAGCCGCCTGCCTGCGGCTGTGTGCGTGAACCACGCATCTGCTGCTCCAGCTGCTGCAGCCTGATGCTGAGCTCGAGGAGGGAGGGAAAGCGGCCACTGGCAAAGTAGGGAAGCGTGAGCGGGGCTGTCCAGCGTGGCAGCTGCTTCCAGACGATGGTGAAGAGGTCCTCGTTGTCCTGGCGCACGCCTGCGTCCTGCAACTGCTGCTGCAGCTCCATTTGTCGCTCGAAGAAGCGGGCGAGGTTGCCGCAGGGGACGTGAAGCTGCGCCTCCTTGAGCTCTGCGATGCGGAGGCGGTCCTGCGAAGCGTAGTGGTCCTTGAGCCGGGCCCATCCTTGGCCGGCGTTGACGTCTGCTTCTCCGTTGGTGAAGAGGAGAAGGGGGTAGCCTGAGAGCGTGGACGCGATGAGGTTTGCAGCGGTGAGGTTGGCGTGATCTCCTGCTGTCGGTCTCCTTGCACTTGAGCGTGTCGCTGAGCTTGGACCTCCCGATGACGATGCTCCTGCCTCCACAGCTGCCCAGACGTCGTCGCCGCGGAGCTTGAGCGCCATCTTCATGCGAATGCTCCACGCATGAAAGGTGCCGGGCGAGCCAGAGAACTTGGGCAGGTCCATCTTGAATCCTGGCGTGGAAACGACGTGGTCCGACGGGTCAGACATACTGCACGCTCAAGAAGGGTGATGGAGAAACAAGAGAGGGGAACAAGCAGAAGGGAGAGAAGAAGCACAAGCGAGTGTGAGACAAGTGGCGATGATGATCAGGAGTGGCTGGGTCTCATAATCTGTAGAAACACGACAGGTGTGTGTGTGTGTGTTTACTGTAGGCAAACGCAACAAACAAGAACACAAGGAGAATGAACAAGCACAACAAGCTGCTGCCTAATCAACTCGGGCAGCACGCTCAAACAAACACTAGACAAGTGCACACACAGTCAATGACGCTGCCAAGGCGACATGGGCAGAGTGTGCACGAACACAAACAATCTAAACAATGAGCAGCATGCATACATGCGCGCAGAGCAATGCTAGGCATGGCATGAATGCTTGCAGGCAAGCATGCACAACAGACAACACTTCACAACACTACATGGCACGCAGGCATAGCATTTGCCAAGCATGACGGGCATGCACACACACACACACACACACATGGCACACAACTCACGTGTGCAGGGGAAGGAGGAGGAGAGAAGAGGCAGTTGGCACACATGCATGCCAGCAGAGAGGAAGGAATGTTTGCCAACGGAAAAACCACAAAGCAGGTGTTGTTGGCAAACAAGACAAAACCACATGAGAAGGCAAATTAGGAAGGACTCAACACAAAACAGAAACTCACTGACTCTCAACACAGCCGTCGAGGTTCCCACCAGTCGTGGCAGGTGCTGCTCCAAGGTCTGCTTGTCCAGTGCCTTGGTCAGCGCGTCGGCAACCATCCGCGTGCCGGGACAGTGCTGCAGCACAATGGTTCCGTCGGCGATGAGCTCCCGCACGAAGTGGTGGCGTACCCGGATGTGCTTCGTGCGCGGCTTGGTGACGTGGTCGTTGCCGATGGCGATGGCCGCCTGGTTATCTGT